TTCATATTGTCAGGGATTCGAACCTGGTTCCTTTCATTGGAATGTGAAAGCTCTATCCCCTGAGCCATCACCGCTCTAAATAAATAACTTATTATTAAAGATGTGCAATCGTAATTTTAAACATCTTCATTCAACATGTTTTTGATTTATCCCTTTTATTTATAGACTATTGCTAATAATATTTCAAATGTAGTATATTTACACAAGCCTGCCAACCATCTACTTGCTTCATCACAATAGTCACTTCATGTAACTAGTGCATAGCATTTTTTTCTATAAATATTTTTGCTTCCTAATGTTTACTAAGTTAATGTGTGATAGTTACTGCTGATTGATCAAAACTTTGAAATATATTTTAATTGATTAAAACAACAAATAATAAATAACATATTACATTTTAAAAATGAAGTTTAATGTGAATACTTGCTATGATTTGTTGGTGAATACTTAATTAATACTGCTTTTTAAAGTCATTATCTAATAAGTTAAATCTTACCATTAAATTGTAAGCTTTGAAACACATTTCATGGGAAAATTTCAATAATAAATATATATTCATTGTTTAACTATAACTTTGCATAACTAAATAAATAAACAATAAGTATGAAAAAATATGTTTTTTTTTTCACCGTGTGCATGGTATTGGGCCCAATAAGTAAAAGTGTCACGACGCTTATATGGCGGCATTAATCTGATTAATTCTTTTCAGGTTTTAAAATTAAAGTAATGAAAAAGGAATGCATATAAAAAATATTAATTCTACAAAAATAACATGCTTTAATTTTTATACATAAATATACAAGGAATAGTTTGAACAAAAATATTTAGTATAGATATTCAAACATTGGTAATTAAAATATTTAAACAAATTTTTAAAACAGTTCTTTCAATATAAAAAAAAAATCAACAGCACACCATCAATAGTTTGATTATAAATAAACCAGATTTTTAATCATATCATATAAGAAATGCAACCTTTTTGACAAAATATCAAAGTGTTTTAAATTTCAATGGGTTCTTTACTGACCAAACTGACCTGGTTTACAAGATTTGCTCAAAAAATTTCATGAATAGTCCCAAAAAATAAATAACTGTGCTGGATAGGTAGAACATAGCATTCATTCAGACATAACGAGAGTTATGGCAACTAGCGTCTAAGTCATGACAGTTAAATGGAAGTGAACAGTCTAAGTGAGAAGGCATGTTACTTCAAAATGGAGATATGCATGAAAGTAAAAAAATATTTTTAAGTGATTTAAAATCTCTAGAGGAAAATTGAAGCATAAAAAGTGTTTCCAGCAATATGAAAAAATAATTTCACCAATATTTTTTGGCAGTTACAAATCTGATATCAAGAGTGCATTCTAACTAATAGTAATTATAGTTGACCCTTGATCTTGATTGCTGTAGTTTTCATTGTGAATGAAAAAATAGGAGAAAACAACAAAGGAGGGTCAACATAAAATTTCAAGTAATAAATTTGAAAACAAATTAATAAATTTACAATAAAAAAAATTTCAATTAAAAAATTTATGTATTTACTGTAAAAACATTTGCAATACAACATATAAACAATAGAAAGATGAATAAAAGCATTCATTTAGTTAGTTAAATAATTCGAAAATCTTAGCTGTTCAAACACTCTCAACACAAACAATTATTTTTACAAGATTTTAAATAGATTCTTGTTCACTTTCATGTGAATACAGAAAGTTCTTCATTGTTTCAAAAGCTTTGAGGCCTTTTGCGTAGCAAATAAATAATGGTACTTAGGGATTATCCCGTCGACCAGTCAATGATAGCGAAAATGGGCAAGCCTTGTGGAGTGATCATACTGAAAAGCAATTTCCAAAATAAACATTCTAAACACATTAAATTTATCAAATAATAATAATAAAATGATAACAACAAAAAATGTAAGTGGAAAAATACAAAATAAAAAAAGGGCATTAGAAGGAATCAAAACAAAGTAAAAACATAAATTTTTTTTAAAATTACACATTGAATTTAACGAATTGAAAATATGCCACTTGACTTTCTTCGGTGCTAGATAAATCCTAAATTCNAAAAAAAAAAAAAAAAAAAAAAAAAAAAAAAAACAGTATATTTCAACAAACTAACTAGGGTAGTCAAGGATTACACAGCAAACGTGATAAAATTTGGGGTTATAGGTGCAGAAGCTAATTTTTGGTGTTAATATTGGGTTTGGTGAAAATGATCAACAGGATGATCCCAAAGTACATAAATAATTATAGTTCAAAAAGTTTTTGTATCCAGCAAAAATAATTTTAATCAATAATAAAATTTTAAACAATCAAATTAAAATTTTTTTTTACAATTGTGAGAAAAAACAATTAGCTCATTGGCTTTTAAAAAAATCTAACAATTAATTATAAGTTCTTGACTGCCAGTGACTTATTTTCAGAGAACATTTCACTAGAAACAAAATCCAATAAAGATTATTGTTGATAAGGAAATAGAATATTGTATTTTGCATAAAAAATGCCTTTAAATTAATTTCAAATTAGAATTGTCAGAAGAAGATTAGAANCATTTCAAGTTCTTTATTGTTTCAAAAGCTTTGAGGCATTTTTGGAACTGACTTGTTCCATTTCACAGTCGTAATCACTTTGTCTGCAACCATTTCTCGAAACAACTGCACAACAAGTTTCAACATTTCCATCAACTGATACATCAAATGTAATGTTTATGAGAGATGTTTTCCTTAAACAATAACAAATCCTTATTTTTTTTCAGCATTAGCATCAAGAGTTGTTTTTTCCCCAGAACAAAATAACTTAAATATTAAAATCGATAGAATTTTTGATAATTTAAGTTGTGACAAAAATATGCTTCAGGCTTTTATTTTCTGTCTCAGTAATATATTGTGTAGCAAATAAATAACGGTACTTAGGGATTATCCCGTCGACCTGTCAATGCTAGCGAAAATGCGCAAGTCTTGTGGAGCGATCATAATGAAAAGCAATTTCCAAAATAAACATTCTAAGCACATTAAATTTATCAAATAATAATAATAAAATGATAACAACAAAAAATGTAAGTGGAAAAATACAAAATAAAAAAGTGCATTAGAAGGAATCAAAACAAAGTAAAAACATCAATTATTTTAAAATTACACATTGAATTCAACGAATTGAAAATATGCCACTTGACTTTCTTCGGTGCTAGATAAATCCTAAAGTCGAATCATTTTGCAGCGGAGTAAAAAAAAAAAAAAAAAAAAAAAAAAAAAAAAAAAAAAACAGTATATTTCAACAAACTAACTAGGGTAGTCAAGGATTACGCAGTAAATGTGATAAAATTTGGGGTTATAGGCGCAGAAGCTAATTTTTGGTGATAATATTGGGTTTGGTGAAAATGATCAACAGGATAATCCCAAAGTACATAAATAATTATAGTTCAAAAAGTTTTTGTATACAGCAAAAATAATTTTAATCAATAATAAAATTTTAAACAATCAAATTATAATTTTTTTTCACAACTGTGAGAAAAAACAATTGGCTCATTGGCTTGAAAAAATCTAACAATTAATTATAAGTTCTTGACTGCCAGTGACTTATTTTCAGAGAACATTTCACTAGAAACAAAATCCAATAAAGATTATTGTTGATAAGGAAATAAAATATTGTATTTTGCATAAAAAATGCCTTTAAATTAATTTCAAATTAGAATTGTCAGCAATTTATTACACTTCATTAAAGTACTTAAAAAATATGAAAGACAATTAATGACAAATTTTTTCTTGTTATTATTTACATGTTGATGGCTCAGGCACTGAACTGTCAATGTTAAGAACTGGGGATTAATCCCCAATGGTGGTTTTAAGCCCCCCCCCCAGCTTTGATGGAAACCAGCTNCCCAGTCGTAATCACTTTTTGCTTTTGCCTGCAACAATTTCTTGAAACAGCAGCGAAACAAGTTTCAACATTTCCATCAACTGATACGGAAACATCTAACGTAATGTTTATAAGGAAATAGAATATTGTATTTTGCATAAAAAATGCCTTTAAATTAATTTCAAATTAGGATTGTCAGAAGAAGATTAGAAATTAGAATTAAAGTAATTAAAAAATATGCGAGACAATTAATGACGCATTTTTTCTTGTTATTATTTACATGTTAATGGCTCTGGCACTCAACTGTCAATGTTAAGAACTGGGGATTAATCCCCAATAGCTGTTTTAAGCCCCCTTCCAGCTTTGATGGAAACCAGCTTGTATGAGGAGTAAAGGCGGCCATCGCACAATGCTGAACTCAACTATTTGGCCTCTTTTTACTACAGCAATGAAATCTACATTTTGGACTGTACTCAAACTATGAGCTATCACTAGCACAGTATGACCTAAGCAAATAAAAAGTGAAACATTTTATTCAAGAAAATAAATTTGTCAATTTTATGAAAACTAAAAGCAAATACATTTTTCAAGGAATTCAAAAAAAAAAATTTTTTTTATAAAGTTTAACATAAAAATAAGATGTGGTTAGTTATATATAGCTTATAAATCTTATTCTTTTATAGTCTTATTATTTTCGATAGAATTTCAAAGTTTAACAAAAGCTTTGAACTCTTACAAGTAAAAATTATTAATTCACAAAAATTGGAAAGAAACTCTCGGGTAAGAATATATTTTGTTGAAATAACAATTTTCATGATGAAATAAAATAAAAATGCAGCAAAAATTTTCAAGATAAAGTAGATTACAAAACACAAACCAATTTAATTTGACTCAGTATAACACATACAATTAAAATAAAATTTATGAGTTATACTGAGTACTTTAGCATGCTTTTTACAAAAATGTACTAAAAATAATATAATTATAAAGTAAAAATTATATAAAATGCACACTTAATATAAAATTTTTTATATTTGGAAAACTTAAATTATATAAAAATTTGATTCCATTACCTTTAACAGCGTAATCTAAAGCTTCTTGAACAACTTTTTCTGATTCTACCTCTGAAGCACTAAAAAAATTTAATGATTGATACAAAACATTTATATACATTATTTTACATAAGAAAAATTAAAGTCTTTAACAAATTAAGTTCTTTTGAATACTAGACAAGAGAGTTAGAACTAAAGGAAACTTTTCATAGAAGAAATTTGAGGTATCAAACATATGAAAAATGTTTGAAGAGCTCATCAGCTATTTCAGAACCCTTTGATTAAAAATTTGAAGACTATCACGAGAAATTGAAGATTTGTTCTCTTAAACTTAAGATGCTTTCAGTTTTCAAAATATAGGGGAGTAGCGCCTAAAGTATCAGTTTTTATGTTTCGAAAAGTGAAGAAAAGAAACATAGATTAATGGATAACGAGACAGTTATGAAATAACTGTTAATAGTCGAGTAAGTGTTTATCTTTTATATTTTAATATACGGTTTTTGCAGACTTCATGATTAACTTTTTAATAACATAATGAAATAAGTTGTATTTAAGAATTACAATGTTTTGAGTATTGTTAGCGTAGCAAATATTAGAATATAAAACTATCAAAGCATTCGTACTTTTGCAAAACTTTTAGACGTGAAATAAAACAAATTTAAACATCATTAGTCTTGTTTAAATATATATATATATATAAACAAATATCAGGTATCATTAAAGAGTTAAAATTTTTGTTATTTAAAAAACTTGTAAAAAACGCTTTAGTTAAATTTTTAAAAGAAAGAAAAATGTTGATTGACACTTGAAACTTATTTATACATAACGATAGCTTACGATGAGTGAAATTTCATAAATATTCAGAATTGGATGCAAAAGAACTCCAATGCATAAAATCATATTAATAAAAAAGGAATTTAATTCATTGTTAGCCATTTTAATTTTCGAGTTTGGTCCAGATAAAATGAGCTATTCTCACTTTATTTCCATTTTTATATTTATCTCATAAGTCTGGAAGAGTTTATGTAAACAACTTTAAAACAATGATATATAAGTTTATACATATGTATGCATAATAATTCAAATGTATCTTATATGTAATATATAATTAATGAGATGTATCACATCAAGTAACAGGAAAAATGATTTTAATAAATGCTTTAATATTTTTTCTATCTTAATTTTTTTTTTTTTTTTAANATATTTTCTTGTCTTTTACAGTGCTTAATTTTTTAAATTATTGAACGATTTCTGCTCCAAAAGTAATATCTATTTTGGGATATTTTTTAACAAATCTTATGAGAAAGATTGTCATCAATAAATTTATATGTTAGAAAAACTTAATATTTGAAAATACTTTATTTTTTTATGATAATCAGCAAGAAATAAAAATAAGGTATATTTATTTTCAAAAATAAAAAATACCATTTTAAAGTTTTACAATCTTAAGGATCAAAATACTTTGATAAATTACTTAAAAATTTATTTATTATTATTACTTTATAATTATTACTTAGCTAAATTATTTTGTCCCATTTTAATATTATATGCGGTGCTTATTTGTAAATAATTGCAGTGTTTATGTTTAGATTATTTCCATTGGAATTTAAATGTATATCATACGATTATGAAAGAATTCTTTAGAACCTATTTTAAGATTATGAACGTGCCACTAAAATTATAATTTCTTTGCTTGTCTCTTTTCTGTCATGATAAAACATATTTTTATTTGTCTCGTATACATTTCCTTATTAAAATGTATCATTTCTTATTTTCAAATATATGAATAAATCTAATATTTGATGACATATTAGAAAATAATAAATTATACACTTAAGTAAGGTTTATTCTTTTGATATTAAAAATAGTTATGATGAAAGAAGATTCAAAATTAAAAGAAAAAAAATCTTATTAAATCATTCTCTCTTATGAAATACACATATTGCTTCATGTAAAGCATCAAACAGTCCTACATGGTAATTTTATTGAGTTATAATGTGATAAATAACATTGATTTATTCCAGTAAAAAGCTATTAAATTAGCCAAAGTAAATATATTTCACGTCGCTCAAAAGTTTGAACAATATATTATAGTTTCCTTTTAATATACAAATTTAAATACAGCGTTACCTCATGATTCACTAACACTTCCGAGGATGACGTCAGTTTAAAAAAACAGCATTTAACACACTAATATTTACACTATTAAAATATAACTTTAATTATTTAAATTTATTTAAAACTAACAAAAACAAATACTTTTTTCTAAAAAAAACTTTTTCCATTTTTCACAATAATTAATTTATCAAATACGTATATATCGGGAGAGAGAAATAAATTCCAACAAAAAAAAAAAAAAAAACAGTAGATCTTAAATAATAGACGGGCAAAAATATGCACATTTTATAGAGTTATGTAAATTTGACTTAAATATTTTTGTTAAAGAAAATTTATAAAGTTTAAACAAAAAATTAAAACAAATCCCTCATAGTACAAAATAAAATTCAATATTTATTTAGTATTATTTTTCAGATATTATTTCTATTTTTTGAATTATTAAGAGGTTTTAAGAATTTTAAATAGAATACGTTTTTTTTTTAGTTTGCTCCAAAAAAAACTTTAACCTAATCTAAAAAAAATTTTTAAAAAATAAATTACAAACAGAATAAACTACAGTTTATTCTTTAGATAACAAAGTAAATTACAGTTTAAAAACTCTCGTTTTCCTCAAGTTTTCAAATTTTTCATCGTCAATAAGTAGTTATTTGAATGCGTGAGTTAAAATTCACATGTCGAAATAAAAATCAGAATTTTTAAAACTACATGAAAATGCATCTCAGAGACTGCCGAAAAAATGACTGAAAAACAACTTGGATTTACAATGCAATTGGCATAAATTAAGTATGACAAAAAGCGATAAATTTTTTATCTCACAAGTCATAATAAATGTATAGTCCATTTATAAACCACATGGAAATTACTTGTTATAAATGACAAAACCTGATCTAAGCATCACTTGGCTCTATGATGACATGGGAAAAAGGGAAGAGAGTCATAAAGTGATTATATAAATGTGTGATTTGAAACTTGTGCACCGCAATTAAATTACTGGATTTTCAAAATCACATGCATTGCAAAATCACATGCATTAAAATCCTAAGAAATATGCAATGCCATCTCATCA